GGTATTTCATCAGGGATATCCCTTTTTCCTTCCTTAACATTTCACCTTCTTCTTGCCATTCCTTGTCTTAGCCGTTCCTCCTCTTCTTTACAACACATCATCTCCTTTATCCACACGTGGATAGTTCTCCAGTTTCTCTCGGCGCTTACCATTGTTTCTATGAGGTTGTGTGTGTCTAACCTCACCCCCAATGCATCATTACAGGCGTTTCTCTGAGGCTGCCATCTTGGACAGGAAAACAAAGTGTGCTTTGCATTATCTACTTCTGCGTCGCAGTGATCGCATGACTCGTTTATTGTCTTACCGATACGGTGAGTATAGGCCTTAAAACATCCGTGTCCCGTTAGTACCTGAGTAATGTAGTACTCTATCTAACGGTGCTTGCAACCTAACTACGGACCGATATTGGGTATAAGCTCCCTTGTCCACCCCGCAGTTGCCCTTCCATTGTTCCATTGGTATTGCCACTTTTCAACTGTTTTCTCCCTAGCCCTTTTCCTTTTTTCTGCAGCTGTTCCCTCGTTGTCACTATAGGCTTCGTTTTGCTCATATACCAACAGGTCAATTGGCGGGACCCCCGCGACCAATTGAACTGCTTCTGCCGACACTGTCTTGTAGGCTGATACCACCCTCAATAACAGCCTTCTCTGGAGGCTGATCATCGTTTTTTTATACTTGTCTACGTTCATGACTTGATGCCAAACCGGGGCACCGTATAGCATTACGGATTGGCCCACCTCACACATCACCCTTCTCTTCTCAGCACTTGGTCCACCTATATTCGGAAGTACTCGCGTCAATGCAGCGACGCTCCGTTCAGCTTTAGCAACTGTGTTTTGAACGTGCTCAGCAAATGATCCATTGGTGAGCGAGCTCCAATCTGTTTTCCGTCATCCATCTTTCCACTTTAAGTAGTCCCAGATTGGCCTCGTTAATCATCTGTACTTTATCTCTACCGCCCACTATCAGTGCGAGGTCATCAGCATACGCCACCGTTCTACACATTCTACCCACGATACACAAACAACGGTATGTTGGTACGCATGTACTTTATTTTCTACAATGAATCCTTGATCCAATAAATGATTTCTCGCCAGTTTAATTAGGTGAGACACATCCGCGTAAACAAAAATCTTCAATGAACTATCACATGGATGTTCAAATGCACAATTTTTATTATATGCAACATTTACCTTGGACCACAAAGCCACATTTCCGGTCCCCATGTCACTAGACACTGCCACAACCATAAAATCTGCTTTAAATAATGTTGTTATTATGTCCTCTAAAATTTGTTTGGTCATTGGCTGATCAAATTGGTAGTAGACTGGTTGTTTCCACTTACATATCAAGCCACGTGCCATAACGGCTTGACAGGCTTTGTGAGGCCCCACAGCTTGTTGTTGTTTTTTGTCAATATCAACTCTGTTAGATAAGTAAATCTCATCAAAAGACAATACACAGATACGATCAGTTACAATTAAATCAATTGATTTTTTTTTCATTAACGATATTACATTTTTTAAGAAACCTAGCTTCTCAAAGTAGACAGGGCCGGGAGAGGATAATTATTTGCTCTTAAATATCTGTAGGTCTTAGGACTGACACTGCGAAGAGATATAGCGGAAGAAATATCTTCACGAGACCAACGTATTTTATTTCCTTTCTCAGGGTGTAACATTTTTTTTATCTGGCCAGGTGTAAAAACTTTCGCTAATGCAATTTCATATTTTCGACTAATAGAACTATTTGCTAGTTTAACTTGCTGCAAAAGTTCTTCGTTCTGTTTTTCTAGCATTTTTATTTTCTCCTTTAGTTCAAGAACCATCTCATTTGCCCTAAAATTTTAATAAAATAATAGTAAATAATAAAATTTACAACACATACTTGTTTTAACTAGGAATTTAAGTTATCCCGATAACATTACAGCAAACAAATACTTGACTATGACTACATAGAATATGCGCTTCATCACAGGAATTCTGCGTGGTCATTGCCAAGTACGGAAGCATCTCAATATCATGTGACTGTCATAATGCTCATTTTCTAGGGGATGCGAACAAGAAAATGAGAACACCGAGCATATCCTTTGCGATTGCCTAACGCCGAGGCTCTCATTTATTAAAAGATTTATTTTCGGACAGTATTTGCTAACACCGATCGATATAAGAGAAGCACTTCTCGGCGACGTCAACTACATTAAATCTTGCAGCTGGCTGACGATCAAATTTTGGCGTATTAATTTAGGAAGATGTACAATGGGCCCAGTGAGGCTTAAGTACCTTGGGGCAACCCACCCTTCACAACAGATACAGATAATTCAACGGTTATTTTTTAATTATAAAAGTTAAACTTACTCTGTATTTTTAATATCTCCATCGGTTTGGATAATGATAGCATTTGTTTTTGCTTCGGATATATCAATTATCATGGGTTCATCAATGTATTGGAGTTTTGGTGTTTTATTAGAAGTTGAAGGTTGAGGTTCTAGAACAACTGACTTTTTTAACAATTCTTCCACAGCGCTCCGTTGTCTTCTTTTAGTTATTCTGCTTGAACGGTTTGTATTTTCTATTTTTTGAGAAGCTCCTGGAAGATGTACTACTGGTACGGCATCCAATTTTAAATTTCGGCTTTTCTTTGGGCAATATTGCAACAGACTTTGTCTCAGGGGGATTTCAAAACTGTCTTGTTTAAACCTAGAACGCTAAGCATATTTCTAACACTACTTAAGACTAAGCATTCGTAAATTTTACTTTTTTTTTTTTTTCGTGTTTTTTTTTTCATACCAAAACAAAGAATAGCCAAAAAATGTATTATTTATTAAAAATTGACATTAACATTTCATTATTAAGAACATGTTTGACAAATTTCACCACGGTGCTCACTACAAAATGGTTTTTTACAGTTTGAGCAGAAGTGAGTTGTCATTCGTCTTTTTCTTGAAGGGCATATCGCACAAATGGTTCTATTGGACTTGTTAGTAGCTGTTCTCTCTTCTAGAACTGTATGTCTGTCTTCTGTTGCTGTTTTTTTCTAGAATCTGATTTATAGTTTCACGGAGTGAGAGCTGCAAAGTGGGTATTTTCACTCGTTCTTCTAACCATGGTGCCACTAAAAGTTTATACAACTCCAGCATGTATGCTTTTCTGGAGATCAATTTCTGTCGGCGTTTTGTTTTATGAGCATTGTACAAAATATAGCTATTTACACAGGCAATATTTAGCATGCCAAAGAAAAGGCATAGGGCCATCGTTTAGTTTTCTGGAAGAACTCATAATTGAACACATCTGGTCCAATGTATCCACTGCTCCTTTTGTCTGATTGTAAGTCTCAATAATTTCCGGTTTTCCTGAAGTTTTTGAAACACTACATCCTTGGTGCATAGTTGATAAAAGTTGAACATTTTTATTCTTCTTTGGAGTGTAGGAGACAAGCACTTTTTCTTTGTCAAAACAAAATTTAGAGCTGCCTGGATCGCGATTCTTGGTTGCTAACATTTCTGCTGGTATTTCACGTTTATTTTTTCTAATGGTACCAACCATGGTAAGATTGTAAGGAGGAGCTAATAAATCATCAGCTAGTTTGACGGACGTAAACCAATTGTCCATTGTAATATTTCTATTGGACCCTGAAATAGTTTCACACAACGTTTTTACGTAAAATTCGCCCAAAGGCATCCCATTAGTGTTTGTGCTTTTACCCAAATATGGCATGGCGTCGAACATGTATTTTGTCGATACGTCGCATACCAAAACTATTTTTATGCCATATTTAGAAAACTTGTTAGGTATGTACATTCTAAAGGGACATCTTCCCCGAAAACCTAGCAGTTGTTCGTCAATGGTAACGTAAGAGCTTGGTTTGTATGAATGTCTGCATTGACTTATAAATGCATCCCAAATATCTCTGATAGCCGCCAATCCATCCGTTTTTTTTTCTCTCCTCCCTTGTGTTCTTATTATCAAAACGTAAACAATCCAATAAAAACTTGAATCTTTCACGGCTCATGACTGCCTTGAATACTGCTTCAGATATTTTATCATCAAATAACTCTTTGGTCGACAAATGGTTACTTTTCAAATACTGACAATACTAGTAATCCTAGTAAAGCTCTTACCTCGTCAGGACTAGTAGTAGATATTGTAGCAGATTTTGCTTTATATTTAGCAGATTTTATTTCAATCATAGCATTTGTATGTAACACAATTTTATCAATCATAGAATCCGTTATGAATAGCTTGAAAAATTCGTTTGCGTAAGAATCGTTCTGGAAATTTATTACTGGACCCGGAAAAATATGAATTATATTTCGTTGCGGAGTTTTGATGTCGCTTTGGGAACAGCACTCCATCGATGACCATTTTTCCCCACGAGTCTCACTTGCGATCGAATTGTCTCATCAACTCTTACGATTCTTCTTTGTGAACTTGTTTCTGTATTCAATGATTCATATTCTTGTTGTTCAGGTTCGTTACTTCTGGATGTTCCAGGTAACGAATCGTTTGCCATTATTTGATTATCCGCATGTGTTTCTTTATTTGATTGTTCATGCAAAGTCCTATTTTTTTTGCTCTAGGAGGACTATATTCGTCTCCGTCCTCATCTTCTGAAGGTACGTATTCACTTCCACTGTCCTCAAAATCTTCAAACTCTATGACATCCTCTGTTTCGCTCCCACTTTCCTGGGCGCTGTCCTCATCTGATTCTAGAGTCAAATTCTCTGATATTTTCTCAAGTTCGGCTTGAGTAAGAGGTCTGTTTTCTTTTATTTGTTTAGACATATTTCTTAGAAATAACTTGCAAGTACTACAAGTTATATTTACAAAGAAAAAAATCTGAAAAATAATTTATTTTTGAACAGCGCGATAAAAACAAAAGTTACGTTAAGACTAACCTTTCGTAAAATTTACGATATGCGTCTTATAGCTGCCAGTACGGTACACTTAAAAATCGACCAACACACACGGGCTATTCACCAACACTGTCTGAGAGAATAGCTAGACGCAGAACCCGATAGCTAACGGATCCGAACGATGGTGGCCGAAAATAAAAATCACCGTCGTAAAATTTACGAAGCTTAGCGTTTTAGGGTTAAAATGTATAGAACAGATACGTGCTAAAATTAAAACAAAATAATCCTTATAATTGTGTAAGCTTATGATAAAAACAAATACCCAGAAGATAAATGAATAGTAGGTATATTACGAGGGTGGACAACCACACGAGTTGGAAAATAATGTTTCACACAAGTGATGTACAATATTTTTCCAACGATTACAAAATAGTTTCATAAAAAAATGTAAAATTAGGTTATATTATAATAAATAATCAATAATAATCGAATTTGTTCGATTTTCATATTTTTTAAAACAAAAAAAAAAAGATTTTCATCCGGCGGGATTCGATCGACTAGGTCGCAAAGGGAGAAGTTGATCTTGTAGATACAGACAACTGAGCTACCTCGTTATATGTCAAAGTAATTATATAATCGATTATGTATTGAAGCAGAATAAAAAGCAAAAATATATTTTATTTTTAAATTATTTTATTAGGTAGATAATTCTTAAAAATAAATGTCTAAGATCTAAGTTTAAACATCAATTTTAATAATTTAATCATCATATCGATTTTACTATCAATCTAGACAAATTGAAATGATGCGTTTGGCATTATGTGAGAGCTGATATGGAAAGTAGATTTATAATCACAAGGGTGGAAACTGGAAAGTAGATTCCTATTCATACGCGTATGATGATAATAAGGGCACTTTCCATAAAAAGTGTGATATGTGTCCCTTTCCTAAGTGGTCGTAAATAGGAGCTTGTCTTAAAACACCTACCTATCACATTTATCATTTTTTAAATTAACGGTATCTAATAAGGTTCTTACTTACCATTTTTTAAATTAATTTTATCTTCCCGCCGACAAGCATGTATCCACTGCTTCGCCAAATCTTCATTTTTTGGAAATCCAAAGTATTTTATGCCCGTTCCTTGTGTTTTTCTGTTATTATTTTTACATGTCGCCACTGCACAGCTCGGCATTTTTCTTAAAATGTATGCTACTTTTAAATTGATATATTTACAAATTAAACGTACGTTGTAATAGTTAACACATAAACAACAAACACAAAGACTCACTACCCGATATTATACAAAAATCGAACAAAATTCTAACAATAACCATTTAAATTTAAATGTGACATTTATGTTTTGAATCCATAGTGACGTCATGCGCAGAGACGGTCGAATTTGAGTTTACAAATCAGCATACCGTTGTTTGTGTATCGTGATTCTACCGAAGTCTATTCTTAGAACCCCATCGTACATCACATTCCACAAAGTTGGTCCAAGTACTGATCCCTGTGGAATTCCCGCAGTGACCTCTCTGGAATATTCTTTATCTGTTTGTATCATCCGACCGCTGAATTTATTCTGTATGATATTGATCAGATGCTCACTCCAATTTCTGCTAGCCTCTCTATAATGATCCCCCATCGCGCCGTATTGAATGCGTTACGCACATCTAACAATATAATCGCACTCCAAGTACCAATTTCTCCAGCTATTTCTAGTGCCTTTTGGATGGCTTGCACTGTCGACTTCCCTCTTCGAAAGCCGTACTGATCCTCCGCTATTGCTGCTTTCTCTTCCAATTCCTCCACTAGTCGGTCCCTCACAAGAATTTCGTAAAGTTTGCCAAGGGCTTCAATTAGACATATTGGCCTGTATGATGGTGCCTCTTCCGGGCCTCCTGTTCCTTTCGGGATAAATACCACTCTGACTTTTTTCCATTGCGGCGGAAACCTTTGGTCGATTAGTAGGCCATTCATGGTATCCCTGATCAATTCTGGCGCCACTGCCACTGCCGCCTTAATTGTTTCCGGCAGGATGCCATCGCTCCTTGGAGCCTTACCAGTTTTCAGTTTATCAGCCGCTGTACTAATATCTTCGGTACTAAACAACCTTGGGACCATGGTTACGAGTTCTCTTTCCATCCTTCTTTCCGTTAGGGGAAAAAGATCATCGACTAGTTCGACCTTTTTCTGCAAGCTCATATTATACGGGACAGGTGGTCTCTTCAGATGCGTAATGACAATTCGATAACCTTCCCCCCAAATATCCGCTTCCAACTTTGAGCACAGTTCCTTCCACCTCCCTCTTTTGGCTATCTTTATTAATTGTTTAAGCTCTCTTTTCCCTCTTCTTAGGTGTTCTTCGGCCGCCTCGATGTTCTCTCCACTACCTCTCCTTGCCCTGGTTACGGTTCTTCTAGACGCGATACATTCTTTTCTTTTCTCGTCAATGTTCTCGTTCCACTAGTATGGCAGCCTGTTCTTCTCACCTCTTCTGTTCACTTCGCATTTCTTTTGTACCTCCTTAATTATTTTCTCGACCTGTCAGCTCATGAGCAGCCTGTGTGTCATCTTCTTCCTCATCTCCGTCAGTAGAGTGGATTTGTTCAAATAAAAACTATACTTACCCAACAGAACGTTTATTTGTAGAAGCAGAAGTTTTGGATTTGAGACAACTTTTTTACCTACGTGTAGCAATATTTCAGAAGAAGCATATTTTCCTTAGCACTCCGGTACAACATTTATACCCAACGCGTTATAAAAATCATGTGATCACCGTACCTAGAATGGAAAAGACTCTAGGGCAAAGAAGTTTTGTATATCTCGGTCCTAAAATATTTAACGCACTTCCGGTGGAATTTAAAAACCTAAATTCTATAGCTCTTTATAGGTCTAAATTACAACAATGGATATTAACTAAGCAACGACAAAAATTTCATGACTTTATTAATTTAAATATAACTAAAATCTAAAAAGAACTTACCTGCAATTATCCAATTATTTATGTATACAATAATTATTTATAAACTATTCAATGCTGTAGCTAATTTGTCTCTATAATAAATAAAAGAAAAAATAGTAAAAAAAAGAAATGCTAAAGTATCCCACGCACAAGGTTCGCCTTTAGTGGAACCACTATTTATTCACATAGACAATTTTTTTTCTGTTAAATATAAGTTAAAATTGTAATTCGATTTTTAAAGTGAATAAATTTATTATTATTATTATTATTATTATTATTATTATTATTATTATTATTATTATTATTATTATTATTATTATTATTATTATTATTATTATTATTATTATTATTATTATTATTATTATTATTATTATTATTATTATTATTATTATTATTATTATTATTATTATTATTATTATTATTATTATTATTATTATTATTATTATTATTATTATTATTATTATTATTATTATTATTATTATTATTATTATTATTATTATTATTATTATTATTATTATTATTATTATTATTATTATTATTATTATTATTATTATTATTATTATTATTATTATTATTATTATTATTATTATTATTATTATTATTATTATTATTATTATTATTATTATTATTATTATTATTATTATTATTATTATTATTATTATTATTATTATTATTATTATTATTATTATTATTATTATTATTATTATTATTATTATTATTATTATTATTATTATTATTATTATTATTATTATTATTATTATTATTATTATTATTATTATTATTATTATTATTATTATTATTATTATTATTATTATTATTATTATTATTATTATTATTATTATTATTATTATTATTATTATTATTATTATTATTATTATTATTATTATTATTATTATTATTATTATTATTATTATTATTATTATTATTATTATTATTATTATTATTATTATTATTATTATTATTATTATTATTATTATTATTATTATTATTATTATTATTATTATTATTATTATTATTATTATTATTATTATTATTATTATTATTATTATTATTATTATTATTATTATTATTATTATTATTATTATTATTATTATTATTATTATTATTATTATTATTATTATTATTATTATTATTATTATTATTATTATTATTATTATTATTATTATTATTATTATTATTATTATTATTATTATTATTATTATTATTATTATTATTATTATTATTATTATTATTATTATTATTATTATTATTATTATTATTATTATTATTATTATTATTATTATTATTATTATTATTATTATTATTATTATTATTATTATTATTATTATTATTATTATTATTATTATTATTATTATTATTATTATTATTATTATTATTATTATTATTATTATTATTATTATTATTATTATTATTATTATTATTATTATTATTATTATTATTATTATTATTATTATTATTATTATTATTATTATTATTATTATTATTATTATTATTATTATTATTATTATTATTATTATTATTATTATTATTATTATTATTATTATTATTATTATTATTATTATTATTATTATTATTATTATTATTATTATTATTATTATTATTATTATTATTATTATTATTATTATTATTATTATTATTATTATTATTATTATTATTATTATTATTATTATTATTATTATTATTATTATTATTATTATTATTATTATTATTATTATTATTATTATTATTATTATTATTATTATTATTATTATTATTATTATTATTATTATTATTATTATTATTATTATTATTATTATTATTATTATTATTATTATTATTATTATTATTATTATTATTATTATTATTATTATTATTATTATTATTATTATTATTATTATTATTATTATTATTATTATTATTATTATTATTATTATTATTATTATTATTATTATTATTATTATTATTATTATTATTATTATTATTATTATTATTATTATTATTATTATTATTATTATTATTATTATTATTATTATTATTATTATTATTATTATTATTATTATTATTATTATTATTATTATTATTATTATTATTATTATTATTATTATTATTATTATTATTATTATTATTATTATTATTATTATTATTATTATTATTATTATTATTATTATTATTATTATTATTATTATTATTATTATTATTATTATTATTATTATTATTATTATTATTATTATTATTATTATTATTATTATTATTATTATTATTATTATTATTATTATTATTATTATTATTATTATTATTATTATTATTATTATTATTATTA